ACTTAAGTATAGTTAGAAAATCCATTGACATATTTCGATCAGACTCTGATTTGACCTGAATTTAAACAGGCTTCATAAGAATCTAACACGATCGAGGTCACGAGCGAAAACTATTGTTGATTGGATGTAATTCAATTTAAATAAGATTATTATTATTTTTCACAGTCTTTGTTAGTGATCTTTTCGATCTACCTACACCCATGTTAAACATTACTTTAAAGATAGTCGCATTGTTTATTTATGTATGAATGGTTATTAGCTTTGGTGTTTACATTGACAACGCACACTCGTACTGTAACCTTACCACAAGCTGCGTTCTCACACTGAACACATTACCCGTCACCCTGTATATGTAGTTCAAAAATCTGCGCATATAATAGTATAAAATGTCAACTATGAATGGAAAACTAGTAGTAAGGTAAATCTCTTTAATATTCCTAGTAACGTATACGAAATATTTCATTTCATTATCTACGTATTATTACTAAGGTTGATTTTTTTTTTTAACAGACTTTCAGATTTATACATACTAATCATGTCTTCTTGTACTAGAAAATAGTTTTACTCGATTGTCTTTAATATATTAACTACATATATGTTATACGTGTTTGATTGTATGCGAATTGCTAACAATATGACTCATCATTAATAGATATAATTTAATTCCAAGATTTTTCTGTTCTTTCATCTTTATAAACTAAACGACAGAGGTATGCTTGTGTGTGTGATTTCAAAGCAATGCTATGAGATAGATATCAAATAAAACTATCTTATGCGTATTCTCAAAGAAAAAAAGTAATATGTGCCAATCTTAATTTAATATAAAATTGATCAATTCTTAAGAAACAATGATTTTATAAGATTTACATATCCATTTTCCTGTTTGTTTTTTTGTAGCACATGAATTGTCTGTCTAAAAAAGGAGACCAAAGTCGCGGGTGTCAATGAATATCAAATATTTTGCCATCATGATTCTATCGTAAACTCGTGAAACGCAATCTACAAACGCGATAGGTTCAACGCGCTTCCGACTATGTAGACCATAAACGATAAGGTTCCATTACCGCTATGAAACGCTTTTTCACATATATACATATATGCTTTATAATTTATATTATAAAAGTAGGAGTGAGTAGCAGTATCTCTCTTAACCCAAATTTCAATCAACACGCTACATGAAGAGCATTTTCAGATTTTATTTCATAAATTATTTATCAATAGTACTTTTATAAATAAACCGTGTCCAAGTACTAAGTTCAGCTCAACACCCTTTCAAAAGTTAACAATCTGACAATAGATACATGTTCAGGGAAGATTAATATTTTAATACAAGTCACGATCTACAGGAAATTTAAAAAACATTAATATTTATAATCTAAATGTTAGGCCCTGGTTGTCAAAAATACAGTCAGAATCCAAGACTAAATATTGTTATGTGGCTTCACTATTTCCCAATGAATCATTATCACATTGTTACAATTAACTCACAATTTGCCTTTGTTCCACATATCTATAGTAGTACAATACAATTTTTACTCGGCACATTTTACATTACTGCTTAATCTTTAATAATAAAAATATAAAACTTCATGCTTCATTGTGCATGCAAGCATGGATGGGTCATGCATGACATCATGCATAACCTACCGATCAACATGGTATGGTATTATAATTGAATATATGATACTAAATTCACATGTATAGAAAAAGTAATGGAACAAACGTAATGAACTTCACAACAAAGAATACCTCTTCTAAACAAATCTCATATCACAAACAGTGAAAGAGAAAGTGAGAAATGGTTCACTCTATGAATAAAACTAATTAACACTGTTATTACAATTATGCTATGAAAAGAAATAGTTTGAAATTCTCTCCAACTTATATGAAGTGTTAATTACAAAACAGTATGATAGTTTTGGGGACTTGAAATATCTATCAGTGAAATGTGTTTCTATAGTAAATTATACATTTTAGGAGCTGTATTTGGTTTTAAAATGTACACAAATTGTACAAAAATTATGTGAACTAAATACTACTACTTCTGAAAGCCTATATCTTATAGATTAGTATATTTTAAAGGGTTATTTTAGGAAACTAAAATAGTGTATATATAGTGTTGTTTGTATAATTATGTTATGCAAGAAATAGCTATTAAATATTAGTTTACTTATATATATACAGGGTGACTGGTGAATTACTATCGATATTTGAGGACGTGATATTTGACGATCATATATGACAAAATAAAAATTAATATAACATAAATATTAATAAACTTCTGAGTAAAGTTAACCAAAAGTTATGTAATTAATTACGCATCGTGTGAACACCCTACAGATTAGGTATACACACACACTCACACATACGCGTGTCGTGACGTGGTGTTGTATCAGCACGCCGCCGCACGCGTCCACACTTGAACATTTGGAACATGTCAACACTTTACTTATTTATACGGAAATTTTGTCAAAAATTAAGTGCCTATTTTTTTTACATAATTCGAATAAGAATCATGTACCGAGTATTCTCCTTAAATATTGATAGTAATTCACCAGTCACCCTGTATATATATATGATCTAATCTGCACCTTACCATAGTTATGAATAATAAACACTTATAATTCCAGTTTGTAATGAACATAAATCTTTATACATGACAGCATCAATGAAAAACTGAAATTATATATTTTTTATGGTACAAACCAATTACATGTACTGATTACACATAGCAACCTATCTATCTTTAGTAACTGCTATAAATATTCCATTTATTCATTATTAAATAAATAAATGGCACAAAACCCAAGAGTACTCTAAGAACTTTTCTAATGTTTATATATATAATATCTAACCCACTTTCTTTTATTCTACTAAAGACTTATAATTATTTTATTAATTATCTGGCCATGACCATGAAATGATAGTGGTCAAATTTTCTTTCCAAGATATATTTTTAACAAGGACTTGTTTTATGAAATTACATAAAATTCCATACAAAAATCCTTCACAACTAATACAATATTAAAATGCTAACATTTATAAAAATGCTTATCACTAATGACATTGTGATAAGGTAACTAATTTTATCAAAGAATTTGTAATCATTCATGTTAGAGTATGTAGCGTGATTTTTAGACTTGGCAACAGTTGAATGGAAAATATGCAATAGTCATATTAGTCATCTAATAGAATAAATTGGCAATAATCATCTCCAATTTGACCCTGCCCAATTCAAATGGTGTGTGTGTGTACTTTAAGAGCCCTCATATAGTACTAGCACACTCAAATGCATACAATTATATTGCAATATTATATAGGTATAAAAATATTGTTACTAGTTATTCTATAAAAGTTCTATAGTTTTCATTATGAAAGAATAACAAGAACTATGTAATTTTAAACATAATTAACAGTATCAGAGCAATAAAAATTACAGTCATAGTAACCAATGTCCAGATTAGGAAGAACATCAAAATTCTAATTAGAGTGTGTTATTATTAACAACTGCTATGAAAATAATTAATATGCCACCAACAGATTATAGTGGCATTAATTGTAACTGATCTATCTACTTAAATTGGAACTCATCTGATGACACCACTATCAAATAACTGGTATAGTATACATTTTCGAAGTTATGCTTCCAAAAATTGCATGTGGTCATGAGAATGAAAACATTTTATACATTACTAATAATTGAAACATCCACTGATCATGAAATCTGTTTCAAAATACTCTATAAGCATTATAAAACCATATAGTAAAATCTATTGGATTAGGAATTAAAGTTCTATTCAATATCATGATTTATATATATTTACTATAACGAGAATACAGGTGTTTAAAACTAGGTTTGTATCTAATGCTACATAATTCGTAACCAAATTGTAGTAATTGCAACAGTTTTAATGTATTGTTAATTCATCTGATGTATACGTTAGAGCTCCTTTAAAATGGATAAAACCGATTAGATTTCAAACTCTAAAACTTTATTTTAACAATCATGAGGCGACCTCATGATTCATAGTCGAGAAAGCGGCAATTTTCAAGCAAATGCTTTTTTATATAATACGATGTTTTTATTTTAATATAATCAGTTCAAGTGCAAACACTTCGTAAAATTAATTGAAGCTATTAATTATAAAACATTTACATTGAATATATATGGGACATTGACAGTTAAAGGCGGAGCCGCAGTTTTCGTCGGTCGTCAGCAGGTTTGGGTGATGGCGGTCAAATAACGGCCGGTTATGGACGATAGCCAAACAAAATCAGTACTTGAATGGGTCTAATTTTTCTTAATAATAAAATATGTTACTAAACTATAAAATAATTATTACGAAAACTCACCACATGACAAAAAAGTAACAACAATTCCAAACTACAATTCACTTCACAACACTAAACATTCCACATCCACGGTTGACAATCACAGTCACAATTTTAATTCATGGGTCGGAGACTGGAGAACACTAGCGCCACGTGTTTTAACTTTCAAGTTTCAAAGCATCTTTTACGAAATCACTACAACGGCATGAAGTTGTAGCTATTTACAGATTAGACAACCTTATAAAGTGTGACATAAAATAATTGCTGTAACATATATTTAAAAGATATTAATAAATGTGGTTGTAGAAATATCAGAACTTATTATAAAAATATAATTTATTTAAATTGTACATAATAAATACATGTTAAGCCCATTTCTGTCTCTGAGTTTGTATCGTAATATGGCCTCATTTTATTACTTTTCTGATACTGCTGCTATTAGATTGATAAAATTACCTGAAATTCCAAAGGAGAATAATAAGAATATAGTTTGGTTTTTTAAAGTTGAAAATGTCAATTTACTTTTTAAATTGATCCTTAGTAAACGTCAAGTGTTCACAGAAAACATTGACATTTTAATAAAACTGTCAATTATTTATTATTTCAAGTCATAGAGAACTTGGTATTATGAAATTTTTTGTATTAGAAAAAGGGAAATAAATATCGAAATGTTAGCCCGTCAATGTAATAAATTAAGGTCGTCTGTAAAGGTCATATCTTGTAGTAAAATTGCGTATAGTAATAAAGTTAACCTACAGAAATCATGTTTTTTACTAGGCTCATCAAAAAGGTTATGTTTTGTTTTTTTTTTTTTTTTTTAATAAATGATATGTTTTAATACAAATTTTGCACAACTCCCATTGCCATTTTGCACTGAACGAAAAAAAATATTTCCCCGCAGGTTTTTAGGAAGTCAAAATCCAATAAGCAAAAGTGAGATATTTGTGTCTGCAGGACCCACAAATAAAGATGTAGGAGGAAATAAAAGAAGTAGAATATCGTCTGTGGAACTGCTTGAAAAACTAATAGCTGGAATATCAACAGACATACACCAAAAAAATAGGGTTTATAAAAATGATTTCATTAGAGTTTTAGATAAAATTAAAGAAACTAATATGTCATCAAGAAAACAAGGGTTGCTACTAATAAAATGTTGCACAGAACTGATGCCTGATGAAATGCCATCAACCAGGATGGCTTTAGTCCAAGACTTATGGAAAGCTATTGAGTAAGTTACAGAGGAATTAAATTGTACAGATTATTTATGTTTCCATATAACTATTGAATCAAAAGTATTTCCTTTGTATATGCTTCTTAATAACATTATCTACCTAGAGTATGTGTTGTATGTATAGAGTTATGTATATATTTTTTCATATTAAACCTTCACAGACCTCATACAACTTTTGATGTTGAGCATTACAATGAATTGCTGAGAGTATACATTGCAAACAATAAAAAACTTGTAGTCAGTAAGTTTATTGGTGAAATGGGTTCTGTGAAACCTAATTTGACTACATTTGAACTGATACTAAGGACTCTTGGAGAGGTAAAAGTTGAATTTAGAAATCATTAGAATTTAATAATACGTCATCAGCCTATTAGAGCCCACTGCCAAGCAATGGCCTCTTTCTCACAAGGAGAAGGTTTGAGCATTAATTACCATGCTTGCTCAAGACGGGTTGGTGATTTCAAACATATAATTGTGAAACTATAAGTCCAGGTTAATGTTTTCCTTCAACATATGTCAGTGCTGTCTAAATACTCTCAGAAAGCACATATGACTCTGAAAAATCACATTGTTACTTGCCAGGTTTGAACCTGTGCCCTCGGCAACGAGAGGCGGGCTCTTTAACCACTAGGCCGCCACTGACTTTTAATAATACAAATTTTGCTAATTAATAAGTACCTGCAATAAAAAAATTTGAAACTAATTTTATTGAAAACTTAGCTAATGACGACAGAACATATATTTAAAATTTTATCTTTCAATCAAGAGAAGTAGTTCTGCTAATATAAAATCATAATATTAATGTTATAGGCCGGAGACATCAACCAGTGTACCGAGGTGATTTCTAATATGAAAGCCCAAGGACTGCCAGCCACAGAAAATGTTTTTAACTCATTAATAATTTGTCATGGAAAATCTGGGTAAGCATTATTAATTTTATATTATCAAACAACTTGCAGTACAATTAGATAAACTGTGAGTGATAATGTGTACATATGTGTGTGTAAAAAATTGTATTATAGTAAGAAATATATGCTTTATAGGAATTTAGATAATATCCCTGAAATATTAACAATGATGAAATCTCTGCAACTGGATTACTCTGTTAATACTTATACAGCAATCGCTAGAGCATATGGATTTAATAAAAAAAACACACAACTTATAAAGGAAATGAATACAGCTATCAAAAACGGAATGAGTTTTGGGGAAGTCCACATTATGGATATAGTGAAAACCTTGGCATTTGTTGGAAATTATGCTTCTATACCAGAGGTAACTTATTTTTTCATAAATTTTAAAGTACTGAATAGAGAATATTTCCCATATGCTAATAAACTTGAAAAATATTGGATAAATTGAACAAAGAAGAAAACAGTATGTGTTAAGGAATGTGGAATGTATAAATTGATAAATAATTTTGGTGCTTTTTTATCCTTCTGTATTTTAATACTCATAAAAAATTTTAGGTACTTAAGTATCTGCCCAGACAGATTTTAGAGTCTCCATCTATTACTCCTATAATGCAGAGTGTGGCAACCCTACTAGTATTTCAAAGTCATCCGATGGCAGCCCTGGAAATTTACAAAATATTACCATTACCTTCTTTCGGACCAAAGGATGATATGGGGCTACATGGAAGGAGTTTGGTTCGAGATTGTGTTAAGGCTTCAACAGTATGTTCCATACATTTTACCTACACTTATTAACATTACATTAACTATACTTTTATTCATTTTAAATGGCAATGATAAGACATGTGGAAGAAATTAAATATTTGTAATCTTTATATTAATCATATATTGGTTCTTTGGTGACCATTTATCAATTTAATAAAATTATGTAGCTAATAACATGTAATTGTGTATTATAAGCAATTTTATTTATGAAGTGATAATTATTATTTTCAGCCATCCACCGTTATAGCATTAATATCACAAGAGCTTATGTCGTCGGGTCGTAACCCTATAGCTCTGCAGAACGCAGCCGAAGCAGCTTTGCAGTTAGGAAAAGTTCCTTTAGCTTTGGACTTGTTTACGCGAATGAAGCAGTATGGAATGCCTGTTAGATCACACTACTTCTGGCCCATATTGCTTCAAACATCAAAAACTTATGGGGAGAAAGGTTTGTCAAATATATAATCTTTTCAATATTTATAGAAAACTAGTTTTTGCCCGCGACTTCGTCCGCGTTAGTTTGGTCAAGAGTAATATATGTAGGTGTAGCTGACCAGGCGAACTCTATTCCGTCTTAGAGGCCATAAATAATCAGGTTTTTCCTGTTTCAATCAAACAGAATGATTGACATATTAGTTAGTTGTCAAATCTAATGTCAAGAAAAACTTTTGTATGGGAAATAGAAAAGTGCTGTTTTTATGGTTTTCCCAGTAATGAATCAATTTTTCTCACCTTTTATACCTTCCCTGGACTTCCAGGAGTATTTCAAGACTAAAATTAGCCAAATCCGTTCAGTCGTTCTCGAGTTTTAGCGAGACTAAGGAACAGCAATCCATTTTTATATATATACATATGTAGAAGACTAGTAAACCCGGCGAACTCCGTTTTGCCACCAGTAGACTTCGTTTTATGTAACACTTCGTTTGGTGATTAAAAGATTAAGAATTTTTTTTGTTTTATACTTGAACAGGAAAATTTTTATTTAATTTCACAACAGTAATGAATTCATTTCGATTATCAAATTGAAGTGTTATTTAGTTGAACTTCTCTAAGTAAATGAAAGTGAATCCAAAGTAAATACTGAATCGAAGCGTTATACGTGTCCGCAAATTATCCGTTTCATTGAAGTGCTCTTTGGTAAACCACATTTTTTGTTTTTTGGTCTAACGTTAACACTTAACACAAACAAAGCGGATGCTTTCCCAACTCGTGAACACGCAAAGTATAACTGCCCATGTGAAAAACAATGATTTCCTAAATTTATCTCGCAAATACTAAAAGTTTTTTAAGAGTTTAAACTACAAACATAAAAATTCCGGTTTCTCAAATGATATTAACTGAGCAGAGAACAATGAGTAGCTGACAAACAATGTCTCATGCACCGGCGTCATCTACTTAAAATATTGATTTGTAGTACATGTTATGTATCAGAGATGGCGCTGAATGTGTAAAAGATTTTACCGCTTTTTTGTTGAAATTTTTCTTGAAATTTTTTGCTATAAATCTCCGGCTGGAGACCTTTCCAACGAATGCAAAACCGTGGAAATCGGTTCGGGAGTTCTGGAGTTATAGCGTTAGGAAGGAAAACCGGACTTATTTTTATATAGTAGATATATATGTAGGGTCAAAATATAAATTTGTAAGCACCTGAACGATTTACAGTATTTTTAGTACCATAGAGTAGTACTGCATCAAAAAAATAATAACAGTTATATTTTATTTATTTTCTAGGCGTAATGAACACTTTATCAACAATGTCAGAAATGGATGTGAAACCGGACTATGAGACTATCATGGACTATACATTGCCTTATGTCAGTTTCACTTCACCACAAAACTTAATGAAGAAGTTCCAAGAGGCAGGTTTAACAGTGACCAGTGTATTAACACCTATGATGGTGACTTTACTAAATACAGGGCAAGTTAGAGCCGCCAGTGAGATATGTATGTATCATTAATTATTATTAATTAATATTTTTGTTGTAACAGACTAAGAACTAGGATTATTTGTTTTCTTATATATTTCCTGGTGCATGGGTTTTTTAAAGTGAGATTAAATTGTGTACATCTAGGATAGTGTGTTTTATAAGTGATTTCTACTGACTATCAGGTATCAGATTTGATGCAAATCAAGCATTTGCAAATACATAATCCAAATTTCAAAAGAATTTTATGTTTTGCACCAAATAGATTGAAATCCTTGCTAGATAATAGGTGTATGTATGTTGACAAGATGTTTTTTTTTTTTTGAAAAATATAATTTGTTTAAAATTACCTGTATCGTATTCTAACATATTAATCAAGTAATCTGTACCGAAATTAATAAATTTTCTGATTCATTTTACTTTTTAGGTGAATTGTTTGATGGGAAGGTAGATGCAGAGTTAGTTATTAAACCTTTATTAAAAGGTTTCCTAATAAGCTCTGATATGAAGTCTGTAATACATATATTAGAAGATATAACTGTTAAGGCTCTGGATAAGAAAAAAGATTGGGTTGGAAGGTTTTTGTGTGCTCTTATAAAAAATAAGAGAGTCAAAGAGGATTTTCCCGACATTCTGAGTATTACTAAGGTAAATAATATAATTCAATTATGTATGAATTAATATTCTAACATATGGAACACGGTACAGTATTATCATGGACAGTTTTTAATTATCAACTTTTGATGACCTTGTAAACAAAAATTTAGTTGTCTTTGTTTTAATTACACAGGATTCATGTGCAAATTCTTTGCTTATAGTACTTATTTTTTTCTGAAAATTATATGAATTTGTTTTATATAAGTAATTTGAAAATAGGGTAAAGTTAGTGGCAAGTCAATAGTAGACATCTTGTCTCATAGAGACTTTATAAATAAGAAAATGGATTTTTTTCGTTTATTTTTCTTTATAAAAAAATATTTATATTTTTGTCGTTAACATTTTATACACAGTTGTGTGATAATAATACGATTCAATTTAAATATCTGTCTAATGTATTTACAAGTTTTATCTTGTTTCATTGGTTTAATAATGTCTATGTGTATCTTTTTGTTAATATAGTAAAAATATATTAATTACTTTTTTATCTAGGCGCTGCAAGGGAAAGGAATTAAAATATCAACATCAGCAGCCGACTATTGCATGTCTCGTATACCGGAGCATCCCAAGAAGGAACTCATTGAGAGTTTTAAAGAGGCTCTGATAAATATAACAGATGAAAGATTGGTCGATGAAGGAGAGATGTTCGTTCAACAGATTCAGCATCCGGTAAGAAGACTATTATTTTTTAAATTTTTTTATGGTAACCGTCGCCCATGGACTTCCATAACAGAAATATTGCGGATACATTGCCAAACTTAATTGCTGAAGAAAAGGGAGGGGTAGGAATAAGGAAATGGCAGGAAAGGATGGGAACAGGGAAAAGGTAACCGACTCTCTCACTCATCGGACGAAACGCAGCCATTAAAGGCTACTTCACGCCGATCGTACTGTGAGAGGGTGGTATTTCCCCGGTCGAGCCAGCCCATGTTCGAGCTATAGTGACTGACCAAAGCTAAGCTCTAGAAAATAACTTACTCAACCTACTTGCAACATTCTAACACATTTATTGAAATCTTTTAGAAGCAAATGAACGAAGAGGCCTTATCTGCTCACCTGGTGGAGCTTGAATCTAAGGGTATGAACACACGGGGCGTCCTTCGGAAACTGTTACAGCAGTACTGTAGGAATGGAAACCTGGCTGCCGCGAGGGAGATTCTGGACAAGTGCGAGAGGGAGGGGGTAAAGTCATAACGTACTTTTTTAAATTTGCAATTTTTAAGTTGGGACTCAATTTGATTTTTATTTGATACTAGCTTTTCGCCCGCACTCCGCCCGCGTGTAGTTCGGTTATATCGCGTTTACAAGAAAACCTTTCAAAAGTCTGGAATAAAAACTATCCTATGTTCTTTTTCAAGGTCAACTCTATTTCTGTACCAAATTTCATTGAAATCAGTTCAGTGGTTTAGGCGTGAAAGCGTAACAGACAGACAGACAGACAGAGTTACTTTCGCATTTATAATATTAGTAGGGATCTACTCTGTGTCTATCGAAGGGTTAACAAGGGGTAATATTTTTATTCAATGTAGTATAGAAATGAGCGATCACACTATACTTATTTATTTCAATCAAATGATTCGGAGGGATAGTTTAGTTATGTCGTCTTTCTAAACGTTCATTTCTAACTGACTGTTACTCTATCGTAATTATTTATAAAGAAAAGTACAATCCACTCTGCTGTCAGGACACAACAAAAAAATTCAACAGTTTTGGGCATACTTCGTTATATGCCTAAGTGGCTATATACATATATTACATAGAAGCTAAAGTATGTAGTCTACGTCATATTTCATGAAATTTCTGTATTCTAGATTACCTGACATTTAATTTACATATATATATTTTAGGTGTTCCTATCAGCTGGAATGAAAGCATCAATATTCGATCTTCACGTGAAGCAGGGGGAATTGGATATGGCTGAATTGGTGCTAGCAGATCTGAACAAATCATCACCAAATTTTACTTTGGATGAATACAAAATTATAGACTTTGCGACCCTCATGGTGTATAGAAAGAAAATCGACAAGGCATTCGAGTTAATTAATGAACAGTCAAGAAAACGGTAAGTCCATTAATTTGATTGCTAAATATCATTTTCATTCATGCTAACACGATTATCCCTCATATACTTTTATCAATACGGTTTTCCATTGATTTTTATACTTTCATTTTAACTAAATTGATCCTAATATTTATTATCCCTCCACATACTCTATCAATAGGTATTCGGTTTCTTATAGTTTTGGATCCATCTTTATTTATTATTATATATGTTGTTCAATATTTTCCAGCCATATAACTGGTGGACGTAATCTCTCAATGAACTGTTGGCGGCTGATGGACGCGGTATCGGCTCAAGGCTCAGTGAATGAGGCCAGGCGAATGTTCAATCTGCTTACTTCGCTACGTTACTGTAAACCCTCGAACACACTACTGGGACCACTAGTACGAGCTCATCTGAAGAAGTAGGACATTGAATGATCTAATTATGTCTACAAAACTCTTATCTAAAGCTACTCAACCAAAACTCTCAGTCTAAGTTTCATACAAATCCATTTTGCTGGAAAAATTGCTTTTGTGATTGGAATAGATTTATATAGCATGAAATTAAATGCGATACTTAGAAATAAGCATATGTTAATACGTTATATTACTCTTTTTACCCTATAATTATCTCTTAAGTTATTATTTTATACACCTACTAATGTTTTTATTTTCTTCCAGTGGTAACTTAGAACAGGCAGTACAAGAATTCGTAAGTCTGGCAGAAAAATACAAAAAGACTCCCTTGAAACACGAATTGCTCTGTAAAGTTTTGCTGGCTATGAATGAAGGAAAATCTGAAGAAAGGTTCATAAGTAACGAGCAATCAAACGGAAAACTAAACAAATTAGCTCAAACTATACTCAATGTGGACAGAGAAGTCCACGGGGCGAGTGATGTTCAGGTAAGATAGACGAAAATATAGTCTAGATAGTAAAATGTGATGTTTCTGGTTTAAGATTAATGCCTTTTTATCAAAAGTCTTTTTTTTATCAGACGCCCTAAATCTAAGACAATAAGTGTTGGAAAATTATAAGTGAAGTTTGTTGCAAACGCCAATGCTGATGTGATATTCTAACATAGACAAACTATAAAACTGTTTTTTTTTTATATCAAAAACCAACCATGCCATTCAAATTCATAATTCGAATAAAAAACTAAACTATCTTGCTTTTGCCAACTTCTCGTTCCGCGTGGACTTTAAAATTAGGCTTAAAGAGTAATGTATAAATTGTGTTAAAATAATAGATATCTTAGACTACTGGCTGCGACATCTAGTCTGTGTCACGTTACTTCATACAAAATATAACGATTATTGCTTAATCCTGTGGAGACTACGCTGGATCAGGGAACAATTTAAACTTGTGTCTGATTTCTAAGCTACATTTCAGAAAAATTACATTAAAATTTTCGAGGTAGTTTTTTGCGTGAATGAGCAAAAACATTAACACATCCGCACAAATTTTACTATTTATAATATTTTAGTATTTTTTATCAATACTGTGAAGAATATTACGATGTAATAACACTAGTCAAATATTCTTTATTTAGATACCAGTTTAAAATACCAACTCATTACAGGTAACTCTAATAGCGGCGCTCGCGGATGTGGGTTACAAGATGACACTCCGAAAAATATTCTTAGACCCTACTACGAAGTTCCATCCGGATGCTTTGTTAAGACATTGCGAGAGATTCGCGGATGAGAAAAAAATACATGCGTTGGAAGCCATCGCTGATACTTCCAAAGACTTGAGACATATCGATATAGAAGAGATTTATAACTTAATCTTGGATATATATCGTAAGTTGAAATTTATATATGTATATATATGACGTAGATACAAAAAAAGATCTTTGTTCAAAACTGATAATTCAAACTTTAGCTCTATAATGTTCAGACTAAAACAAGATGGTAACTTTAATTTTCAGAACGAGAAGATAATTGCAAGGACGCGTTAACACTATTCTATAAAATGCAAGAAAACGACATAGTACCCTCCAAAAAGTTCATAGATAATATTTGTTCGCTATTTAAGTCCAATAACAAACTCATACCGCCCGATGTAGCGCTTATTAGAGACAAACTTACTAAAGGCTTCTCTAAGAAGGCAGTCTAGGATTAAACTTGTCAAAATTACCATATAGAAAAATGTGAATTATAGTAATATCTGTGATATTATTTATTACATGTTGTTTAGTGAAAGCTTTTGTTTTATTTCAACTTTTTATTTCTTAATTAACAAAATTATTAATACTAATATAGATAACAATTAATTAATATGGCTTATTGTTTAGATCTTCAATAATCTTTTTGTTTAAAGCCGCGAGTTCAGTAAAAACTTCCTTTTTTATGGGTTCGTAATCCGCTTTAAGTGTTATGGAAGCAATGTCCTCTTCCAAAATAGTCTTTCTATTTTCTAGTTGGGCAAGTTGTTCTTCTAGGATGTTTAATTTTGCGTACATTTCGTTCCCATCCAAACTTTCCTGTAAAATTAAAGTTTATTGAATATCAAGTCTATAGGTATTCTAAATTTCATACTTATTTATTTGGTACCTGTAACTTTTTCAGTTTATTTGTGGCCTCAATCACCGCGCTTTCTGTTGGCCCAATTTTTTCTTTGAGTTGTCTTAGTTCATTTTGCAGTACTTTCTTTTGCTCCTCACCTAGCATAAGACATCATAGTTATAACAAACGATTAAGATTCGTGTATGTAGAAAAAAACATGGTAGGATTGTGAAAAAAAATAGTATAAATGGAAATAGCGTTTAATCTACCTTCATCTCGTAACTTTTCCAAATCGGTTAAAGTTATGAGTTCTTCTTTCATGATTTTCGTTTTCTCGGGAAGGGTTTGCAATTCTGTAGCGAGTCGCTCTCGTGTTGCTTCAACCTATTAAAGTATCGGGTACAACATTTACATGTAAGAATATTGATTATATATAAAAATATTTAATATTTTTCAGTTCTAACCTTTTTTAAGTTACTCTGAAACCTTTCATAATCTTTCATCAGACTTTCAATAGAATGCTTGCTTTCATCATATGTGGCTGAATAACCATCTTTTTGTTTTAATGAATCAATTTCGCTTAAATCAAGATCTATATTTGAGCTGCTGTGTTCTAAAGCAAAAACAATGTCTTTTTCTAATTGCTCGATTTTTTCTTGTTCCTTCTTTAAGTTTTCTTCATAAGTTGTCATAAATACGTCCATCGTTTCTTCTCTTTTCTTTAGTTCCCTGTATTTTTGATGACGTTCCGAGTTACCTTCTTCAAGGTCCTGAGTTTGAAAAAAAATATATTAACTCACGAAATATCTAAAGTACTACGTAACAAGTAACAAGATAGAACCTGTTCAGATTGTTCAATCAATTCCTGTACTTTCCGAATTTGCTCTTTAACATTAGCAGCGTTGCTGTCTAAAGATGTGATTGCAGCATTATCTTCCCTGACCTATGGCAAAAAAAATAAACCTGTAATTTAATAAGTTTACACACGCGAGGTCAAAGGAATAAAATAAAAGTTCATATACAAATAGTTTTGAAGTTCTAGTTCATGGAAAAAATATTGACCTGTATCAAAGTTTCATACACATATGGTCTTTTGTCGACTAATTTAAGAAATTTTACATAATATTTCAGACATTTACTGAAGTTTTGAAGATATATTAAATGCTTTCATGAGTTAATTTAGTAAGGAATATAGTTTACCTAGAATCCAAAACTAGAGTACAAATACATACAGTGGTTTACCTGCGCCAGTAATTTCTCACGTTCCGTTTGCGGGTCTAGCCTGTTACTCATTTCTTCTTTTAGATTATCTCGTTTCTCTTCTGCTGCCGCGAGCCGTCGGTGTAATTCAAGTAAATGAAGTTTAATCTATGCAGATATATAAAGAAGATTTGATTTTTAAAAAAATCTTGATAAAAATACTATCGATCATGTTCAAAACTATCTGAGACAGGGTCAATCAATTTCAACAGCGTTATGTGCAAGTAGTTTTTTATACACATTTTTGTAACAATATTAGTTATATAAAAGTACCTGAGAGCCAGCTATTTCCTTACTAAACTCTTCTTTTTCTTTGTTAAGGTGATCGCATTGGTTTCTTGCTTGTTCCACTTCATCCCTTAATGCTGCAGCAGTTGCTTCCAACTCACTGTATTTTTCTTTCTGTTCTGGAGTCATGTCTGACAGTAGATGTGATATCGATGATTGTTCCTGCAATAAGAAATTATCTCAGACGCCTTGTTATGATAATCTACTGGTTAATTTGAGTTTCTTAGAACCTTTTCCATTTGTTCTCTTAGTTGACGCAATTGATTTTCCTTTCTCTGTTTTTCCGTGAATATTTGCTCGACTTCTTCCTGCAACCTCTTATTATTAACTTCTAGCTCCTTTGTTTGCTCCTCGACTGAAAGCTTTGAAGCCTCGCCATTGGCAATACGAATAGCGGTGTTGTAATCCGCTAGGCGTCCTTGTAAATCTGTGTAAATTAACTAATTTTGTTATTTACTTTGTTACGAGCTGAAATATGGTCCCGTTATAAGCTTTGGTTGGGTTTTCGGTACAAAAAAATAATGTATGAAACCTTTAGAACTTAATGACTTTAACACATGTTTAACACAGCCATATTATGAATAATATTTTATAAAAAGATACCTGTCAACTCCTGCGCCAATTCCCTTACTCTCTTTTCGTAGTGTTTCTTCGCCGACCTCTCCCTTTCCCCAGCATCCGCTTGTTCCGTAAGCCTGGCAATTTCTGCTTTCATTTCCCTCACTTTGACTTGCATTAGTTCTTCCCAGTATCGTTTGTCTTGCAGCTGACGAGTACGGAACCCGCGAGCAGTGCTTGTTCGGAGTCCTGATATACCCTGCTGCGTTATTGGTCTATCGATCTGAAATAGATGAAGTCCATCTTGAATAGACATTAATATGAATAAGGTAAAGTTATTTCACCTTCGTAAAGAGTATGCCGTTTGACAGTGAAGGGAAAGAAGAATGCCGTAAAATAAAGAAAAGGAATACTAAAATATGTATATTGAATAAATGAAGAATTAGGACCGCATTTCCAAATTAAATCATCTTGCGTATTGCGTCATATAATTTCTATATAAATCATACCATAGAAAAACCTGTCATGGCGGTTGGTTGACGACTAGCTGTAGGAGGCGCTGGACCAAAACCAGCCGTCGAAAGCCGTGAAGCTGTGCCCCCTCTGTAGGCTGATGTAGGCCTCATAGTTCCACTTCTAGAGATTAGCAAAAAAACAATAGACTATTCATTTGAAGATCATATATCGCCAAGTAGATTTTTTAATATATTATTATATGTAGGTACATTATATAAGGATACCTCGATACTGTTGATCCACTATTAGTGTATTCTCGGAATCCCCTTCTTGATACTGGACGAGGTACGTCCGTTCGACAGCCCGTTCCTGTCCGGTCTGTACTACACTCAGAAAAATCCATAATAATTATCAGATAAACTTTTACACCTATAACTGGATTAAGGACACGTTTACGGCCACGCGCAATGACTTTGTTGTTTGCGAGTTGCTATGGAAACCGAGTAATGTCTGTCGAAAAATGAAACCAATATAAAAAAGCGCAGTTAGACAAATTGAACGCAATCTTTGAAATTTATATTATATTTGGTTACAAAAAATGAAAGGTTGACAATGGACAAAACATTCCACAAGTTGAGTGTTGAGCTTAAATTGAATAATATAGCTATATTGACTACAGCCATAGATAAAATTAAAATAAAGGAAAAGTACAGTGAAAACTTAATAGTTTTGATTCCATATACAAGCACTTAGAATTTTTAAAAGGTTACATAGATAAAAAAAACATTTTCTAATTATTTTAATTATTTATAACGAAAATAATATGTATCTTATTTTAAATGAAATGTAAATTTGAAACTAATCTTCTTTGAGTATTATTAACAAACTAAAAATATTATACTATCAAACACCTAACTCATACGTTATCGGAAAACACGGTATAATATATAAAAATTATTAAACATTAGATTTTGATGAACAAGTATTTGAACGTTGAATGTTTATTATTTTAGTTGAATATTAATTTTATTTCGATCTCTCACAAAAGTTTTATCTTACCTTGATATATAAGAGTCGTCAGCATTCTCGTCGAAGTGAGAAAGAGTATCTTGACCTTTAACTAAATTATCAAAAAAATCCATCATCTTCTCTTCTAGACTGACTTAGGTTTAATACGACTTGTTTATCCGTAGCATTGGAAACTTGCCATATTGCGGTACAAGTAAAATACAACGGCCTTTCAGGTGTTTCTAAATGAGCTATTAGAATTTTACAAATTAAAACTTTTCCCTATACAAAAAAAAATTTGGATGATTCGGGAATGAATAATGCTTCCGTAAAAGAAATGATAAAAATATACTAATATTTTTATTATTCACAATTAAATTCAGGTTTAAGTGATGATATATAGCTTATGACTGGATAACATTTTTATTTCAATATACATATTTTTAAAAACTAGCATTAACTTATTTATATATGATAAGCTTCACGGTTTATTCACGGTTTTCATTATAATCTTTGCCTAGATATATAGAACTTGAAGAAAATAAATCTAGTGGTAGTAATCCCATATTTTTATATATGTAAAAATAATCCCATATTTTTATATATGTCTTTTAATGAGGTGTTTTGAAGTTTTAGTTATTAAAAAATACTTTATTATTGAATAATATTATTTAATTCCCAGTTAACTTTATTAAATTGATAAACTACATATATCACTTTTAGATTTTAAATTAAGGTATATAAAAAAACGTAAGTACCTACCTATATATGTATTTCTTATGAAAATATAGAATGGTGACAATTTTTTGTTTCATATGAAAAGATTTCCAGTCATTTAAAATATTATCTAAGTTTTTTTCGTCCGCGTTAATTTATGATAGCTGAGAACTCTATTTCCAGCCATAAATAATCAGGTTTTTCCTGTTTCAATCGAACAGAATGAGTGACATATTAGTTAGTTTCAAATCTAATGTCAAAGAAAACATTTGTATGGGAAATAGAAAAGGGCTGTTTTTACGTCAACACCTTTTAAACCTGAACATGAACATTTCAAGACTAAGATAAGATAAATCCGTTCAGCCGTTCTTGTTTTAGCGAACAGCAAATTTTCAATGTTAATATTACGTACATACCTACATATTTAAATTGACGCAAGTCAATGGAATTTACTATTCTTCACTAGGATTTTCCCACGACTTTATCCACATCGTTTCAGAATTGTGTTGAAAAAGAAACTAATAATGTCTACTTAAAAATAATTATCTATTAAGAGCGGATCTATTGTCTATACCATGTGATTATATACAAAATAAAAGGTAGGTATTCTGTTTACGCGTGAACTGTACGGAATATCTCTATTTATATTTGGGTTATATTTAGGTAAAAATTCATTATAGACTACTCAGTTATTATTGCGTCGAAATTATACACATGTTACACTGAGACATTCTAGAACTTGTTAAAGAAGTTATCTATACATAAATAACTAAGGACGTCGATGGACTTTTAAATCATGGTTTGAAATCATTTTATTAAAAATTCTTTTTGTTAAAATTTATTTTCAGCGTTCAGATTTTTTAAATATTAATTAAGTTATATATTACCGTGACCTAATTTTTAAAATATGGGAAACTTACAAAAATAGCGAGATTTGGTTGGAAGTATAGAGAAAAGGGAACAATTACAAACAAATAATAAATTGCCATAACATAATATATGGCTCCATAGGATAAGGCATAAGTCAAGAAAAAAAAGTCGTTGAATATTTAATTCTTCGATAAGAAGTTAGGACGATGGTCAAACCTAAAATGGTATAAGAGTAGAATAAGTTTATTTCGTTAATACGAGGCAGACCTTTACAATACTTTGATTTAATATCTTTTGTAATTGTTATTGGAACTTAATGCGGGTGAAGTGTATTAGAGATTTATTTGATGCGGGAAAAAGGATTACCTTGAACAAGTTTATTGCAGTTATAGAAGTGATGGACGCTTAAGAAAAATAAAGGTAACGATATGGTGGAAAGCGATTTGAAGTATACGAAGACTTTAAATTTCACCTTTATTGCATTTAGTTGAAGTCTTTGCTTGAAGAACAATGAAAATCTTAGAAGACTATTCTTATAACGCAACAGTAACAAGTTTTTCGTTACAGGATTTAGAGTTTTAATTAAAAAATTAAGAAAAAAATATAAGTTAAACTACGTCGTACGATATACAACATAAAGTAGTTTTCATATTTATATTTATTATGATCTAGTATGGAATAAAAATTTTGTTTCACTGTCCATATAATTTGGAACCTTTTGTAATTTGACAGAAAAGATATACTCATTTAGAAGCATGTCAATGAAAAGGGAAAATTATATGTATTCATTACCAGAACACATTACTATACCTAAATCAATGTCATTTTATATGGGGTTACAATAATCCCTCATTGAAGTTACAATAAGCTATTTTTAATTCGATTTTTTTTGCTTATGAATTTTGTAACATTTCGTAAATATGTTACAAGAATTTTCTGCACGTTTTAACTTTTGTTCATATTATTTCGTTCTGATATTAATAGTACGTACTGCCAATAATAAAACAAGGTGGTTAAAAAACTGTTCTAAATAAATTTATTTAAAACTTTGCCCATCTAACAAAAGTCAAAGCCTGTTTTCAATTTCTCTTATACGAAACCTTAAATTTCATACATACCTACTTTAAAGAATTAATTACATTTTTGCCTGGTGGTATGCAATGCTCCTGTAATCTTTTGTGTAAACATTTAAATTATGCGAAATTTTCCGCCACCATAACTATAAAATACATAGTAATGATAATTCAACACTTATAATCTCTTTGCGTCAATCGGTCTAAGTGGTTGAAATAGTTAAGTGATAAGAACTGTAAAATGTATTCCATTAAGCATTTTGCTGTTTTACTCTTTATATTACAACAATATAATATAAATGGGTTTAGCATATTTAATATATATAATGGATTCAACTATCTCAATAATAAAATAAATTCCATTGTGCCTGCAAACCTTCCAGATACTGATGTGAAGACTCGTTGGATTTTACAAGAATTAGACCACTTTGATCCCAAAAACTTACTGAAGTTTAACATGAGATACTTTGAAAATGTTAAATATTGGCAAGAGAATGGACCAATCTTTTTTTTCTTGGGAGGAGAAGGCATATCGACACCTATGTGGACTAAATCAGGTGTAATGCATGATCTGGCACAAGAAACAAAAGGAGCAATGTATGTAACAGAACATAGATATTATGGAAAAAGTATACCTAAAAACGTGACAAAAGGAAATAAATTCAAATATTTAAGTTCAAGACAAGCGCTTGCTGATTTAGCAAAGTTAATAGAGTTTTTAAAATTGCTACCCATGTATAAAAATTCTAAAGTAGTTGTAATTGGAGGATCATATGCAGGTAACTTAGCTGCATGGATGAAAGTTTTATATCCGCATTTAGTCGACGCGGCGATAGCAAGCAGCGCACCGGTCTTAGCAAAGAAAGATTTCTTTGAATATCTTGAAAAAGTTACTGACGATTATGAATCTTACGGAACTGCCGGATGCTCAGACAAGATAAAAAATATTTTCGACAGACTTTATAAACTTTTGCAGAGCTCTGACGGTATAAAACAGTTAAAAATAGAAGAAAATATTTGCGACTCATGTGATATGAGTGTAAGTGAAAATCAAGAACTTTTCTTTGAATTTAAAGCAAGTGAATTTATGGACAATGCTCAATATGGATCAACATACTCTATTAAGGAGGATTGTGATACATTAAATGACGTAAATTTTGATACTAAATCTTTAACAGACTACTATATTTACCCATACATATACTCAGAGAAGCAAGATTGTTATGATTTTGACTTTAAAAATGTGATCCAAAATATGAAACGTACTGATTATTTTTCTTTGCCGTGGATATATCAAACATGTACTGAATTCGGATATTTTCAAACAACGATTCAAAGGCACAGATCTTTAAAAACATCCCATTAGAGTATTACATAAAAACTGTGTACGGAAGCGTTTGGCAAGGATTTTAACGAAACAAGAGTAGATCAGGCAGTAAAGAACACAAATAAACTGTATGGAGGATTGAAGCCTAATGTGACACATGTAGTATTTTCAAATGGGAACCTAGATCCTTGGAGTACGATTGGTGTTTTAGAGGACTTATCCCATGACGCCCCAGCAGTAGTTATTCCACGGTCTTCTCACTGCAGAGATTTATTTTCTATTACTGATTTTGACAGTGAGGAAATGAAAAAATATAAAAAACATATCAAGGATTTAATTAAGAAGTGGATAGGAATAGATGAATATTTAACTTCATAACTTTTGTAAAGTGTCCATATAACACTTAAAATGATATTTTGATACGGTCAAAGGTCATTTAAAATAAAAGTTGAAATTTATTAAAATATATTTTGATTCATACACATTTCCTTAAATTAGGTTACTGTTTATCCAACACCTAACATATCGTGGATGTTGTAACTACGTCAAACTATAATAAGGTACAGTCGCGTACACTTTAAAAGATTTTATATTTTTATATAAAAAAATATAACTTTTAGGGTTTTATAAATACATATAAGGCTGGTCTCCAAAGCCTTTATTGATGTCCGATTTATGTTCATCATTAAAATATAACTAACAACATATATAATTCAGAATGGTAACCTGTCTAGCACCTTCGTAAAATGATATACCAATTTCAATACCAATAATAAATATAGTACGCGAAGAATGCGATTTTCCTTATTTTTAAGTAAAAGTTTATTATAAAAATAAAAAATACATATCAGCTACTATACATATTATGAAATATTATAACAACTATGTATATCTATAATAATTGAGTATTGATTATATGATGTTAATTGAAATTATATTTTGTTAAATTATAAAGATCCTAATTAAATTATGATTTACTTATAAAATAATATGTACAAGTGTAAAATACGTCATTATATGTATTTTAATATAAAGGTATTTATGAACAAAAAAACATTAACGAATTGAGTGTTGAAGTTAATTTAGGTGGAACTTAAATTTTAAGTTCGATAGCTGATATTTTTTTTGATTGGTGTATTTTTTTCATTCACATACATTCCCAACCCTGTTTTGACTAGGATTGACACAAAACTTACATATCATAATCGTAAGTATTTTACCGATCATCAAAGGCAACAGGAATTTCTGTACAAAGAAACAGAAATTCATGATATCAATGTTGAACGGCAATGTCCTTATACATAGTGGCAGTGATTAATAATGAAAGCACTTATATTCTAACGTACTACAAAATCCAGTAAGTATAATAACAGTAAGAAATGAATGATTGACATGAAAATATCATATTTTATTTTTAGAGAATATTGGTATACAAAAAATATTATATCCTACTCGTATTAATAGAAAACATTATGTGAAATTCACTTTATATTCGTTACATTCATATATGGTAAATATAAACTTAGTTTAATCTTATATTAAACTCGCTATACAGATACTAACCTAAGCATCAAATTCGTATGTCTATCGAATGTAATTTAGTATAAAAAAACTTAATGAAATAATTTACAATACCATATTTACATTGAAGGCATATTTACCGCCTTTCCTTGAACCTATAATACAGTATATTCGAATGCATAACGAAGAAATGAAAGAAAATTATAGCAAAGTTTCAAGTTTTTGAATTTCGTCGATGGGGCTGTGGTGATCTGGTTTGTAAAACGACATTAAGTCGTTCACCAGGTGTAAAAGTTTGAAACCAAATATAGTCATAATAAGTGTTTTCTGTTTATTTAGTCCCATTCTCCAATGAACATATGTCGCGCGTTGGGCGCCGGGGGTGGCGGGAAGCGTCCTGCGGGCAAACGTCCATACAGCGCGTAAGGATCGTAATGCTCCCCATCTGTAAAATTAAAATAATAAATTCATAAATAGGATAGCTCTAAATATATCATATCCTGCATGATTGCGTTGAGCCAATTTTTCATGTTTTCGAATTGATGTTCGATGATAAAGTCATCATGCAAAGATATCTTTATTGAAAGAAACCTGTTAAAATGAGGGTCGATGTTTATGTATTGAATTTATTTCACTATCAATTTACATTTAAACGAAAAGCAAGCGCTCTAGTTAACATGACAAGAATCTGAGATGTACAAAAGATCAAACAAAAGGAATAAAACGCGTATATCCTGACTTAAGGAATACATGATCACGACTGCATGCTTGACGTACCTACATGCATGTATTGATTTAAGAAATGTATGGGAAAAGCTGTAAACGGTTTTAATCTTAAATATATCTTACTATCTAGAACATATTGCATGTTTTGGAATGTCCTAAAAACCTCACAAAAATCACATTAATATTAAGTGCAACTAGTTAGTTAGTGTGTCGGTGTCTTGGACATTTACTAATGCGAAGCAATGGCCAAGTCCAGCGGTAGTCAGCAGCCGCTGTAGGAAAAACCCGTGAGTGAGAACCGAAGCGTGGTGACAAGCCAAGCGAAAAAAGGAAAGGGTAAATACCAAGAATTGAGCGAAGTTAGTTAGCGTGGCTGCTGGATCACCATTGGTCGTAGTTTTCGATCCCTGTCGGGGTAGAATTGATACATCAGTTTCTCTTTTTTGGGACGTTCGTACGCACCGATTCCACTTTCGTAGGAGCGCGCGTGCCACAGCGCTTGCTGCATGGGGTGTGCGAAGGGCATTTGGGGTGGGAAGCCGTGGGGATGGGCGACGCTGAAACGCTTGCTGGGCACTGGCATGGGTACAGGCGTCTCCTTCAGGGTAAGCCGCTCAGTCATCGCAGGCAGGACGTGCTTGCCTGTAGCCTTCACGAAGTTGGGAACGCGGGCGCGCAATCCGCAATAGTAAGGATCATCTGTAAACATATTATAAACAGGTATCAAAATGCTGTAAAATAGTATATCATATATTGGAATAGGTCGGAATGCCCTAAAAACATGCAGTAATTATTAAATTCTCACACATATTGAGAGTCATTAAATATAGTTTATACACAACATCTATTAAGTAAGAAATCCTAAGCAATGTTGGTATCATTTAACGATTACACGTTAACTCCTTCGTAGTTTCGTGAATGTTAAAGTTCAATATCTATTCAAAACATTTTTGTGTATTTCCTGCAAATTTTCTTTAAGTGAATAAAAAACTATAAAAATAATAAAAGAAAAGTTGTTCTACTCGAGACTTATGAAAAAAGGTTTAAAACAAGAAAGTATAAAGATCGTACTCCTCAGTATCCTACGTCGTATGCCGTCAATTTAAATATCAAGGATTTGGCCAAATGTCAGCTTCGTTGCGAAACTATTGTAAGGTAACCTCTGCTCTGCTTCATGAACAGGACCGATATTTGGAGCGTGAGGTTACGTTCAAAGAATGTGAAATGCTTTGTACATATTTTACTTTGAAGTCAATATTATGAATATAATATAATTAATAAAAAAAATATTTTGAGCACCGACTTTTTGTTTTAGAATAGCCCCAAAAAGTTCACACGCTTATCTCGAAGATATAATCCCAAAACGTAATTCTTTAGGTAATTCATGTCTAGAATGGTCAAGTTTTAGAACTACTTAAAATTCTCGAAAGCGTTTTGTATCACGCAATCATACAAATAAAAAAAATTACCAACGTTTTCTAACATAATACATATATAGTACCATCGCTTACTATATAGCGTAAACAAATAATGGTGTTGTAACTATTATGTGACAAGCGAGGGTTATAAATGGCGATCCATCACAAAATATTGATATCGCGATGTTCACACTTGCAACATCATGTTGTAAATTATATGCTGGCTACATAAATCGTCTGTCAGACCGTAGTGGGTAAGACCGTGAATCATAATACACACATACCAAAACATCACCTAGAGTTGACATCTCGGGTTTTCTCATTGACATGTGATATGTAAATTTAAGGCGATGGCGTAATATTCCAAAAATAGCTTCAACTCTTGTCTAGTCTTGAGGACTAAGTAACTTAGCCAGCTATTTACTAGTCCCCATGTGAAGTTTGTAATGAATTTTTAATTAAATTAACCTTTAAAGTCAGTAATTACATCCTTAAACCACCGAATAGGTTAAAAGAGTGCGGGTCGTAGGCGCTCTCAGTAGCCCATTTCAATATATGTACACCTCAAAGTACCATAATGGCTTAAGAGTGGGATGAAATGCAAACAGTGGGTGTTCTATTACCACGTTTTTTTCGTCCTTATATCTACAGAATAAAGTTGATATTCCAACTCATACTAAGAAACGTAGTAACTAGTCCTTGCACTCTACAGAATTTATTAGCACAAAATATTTTATGTGACGATTGTCGGTATTTTTCCAAACCTTTCTGGGGTTAATTAAAAGCGTAAATACACACCCAACTTCAATACTTGAGCCCTGAATTAATATACAAGGGTACTTTAATTGAGGATCGTAAGGAAGGCAATTAATCGAATGCCTTAAAAGGTATAGAAGAACTAGTATATTGTGGGGACAGTAGCAAGTTTAAGTGCTTACCGTATTTTTTGTTATCTTTTCCTTTGTCAGATTTTCCTCTGGGGAACTGTGTCGGAACACGTTCGTTAACCTCAATATCGTCATAGTCCGGCTGCAAAACATAAATATTAAAAAAATGTAAAAAAAACTTAACATTTAAAATAAAATGCTATTCTTTTCAAAGGGATTTTCCAACTAGACCCTATAACTCTGTCTTTATCCTAAACAAAGGTTTTAAACAAGTCGTACGATTGAAATGTCCTTAAATCGCATCGAGGCGATTATGTTATCGGAACACACAGAATTGTATTAAACAACATGTGCTAAAAGAAAATAAGAAAGAACATGAACTTCAAAGAAATAAGCGTGAATACTTGACTATTCTTATCTTTAAACAAGACGAGATCAATGAATAAATAATGGATACAAGCTCATATTCTGAATTAAGTTTAACTAAGGGAAAATAATGTGGCCTTAGTTTTAATTTCTATTACTTTATCTTCAAAAAATATTTTAAAAAAATGAATGATCAAAAATACGAGACGATTCATTCATGCATATTATATTATATAGCATTCATTTAAATTTAATATATAACAAAAATAAACAAATATATCGCAGTAAATTTTAAAAACAGCGAATAATATATTACGAATAAAAACGTCATCTTTCACATAAAACATATTAACAATAACGACAAAATAAAATAATCAATTAAATATACGAAAGGATTCTTCGAGATCACTACCAACAAATCGAAATTTTATCATACAATAATCCATTTACTGTCCCTTTTAAAATTTGCAATCTAAGGGTCAATATTGAATTCCATTAAAAACTTTTAACAGTGATTCATGGTATCGGGTCTGAGTAACAAAATTTGTATCCTGTTAAGCAAAAGATTAAGAGCTTAGAAGCTTTTTGCATATGATATAAGTTGATAACTTATTTAAGTGCTAATCCAAACATTATTTTTACTTACTGTCTAAATGAACTTTTTTTAAGTAAAAGGTATTTTAGATAAAGCTACTGAGTTAATGATGGAAATTATGAATGGACTAAAACATATTATAATTTCTGTCTTAATCAACATCTTGAGATTAGTGGTGCAGTATAATTATTGTGATTTTAGTACGGATATATAATGTTTTATATATCTAAATCATGATATATACAGAAAATAAAACAATCAATCAAACTCAAAGAGACATTAATAAGTAAAATTATTTCTAGGAAAAACATTTTCTTAAATAGTTATAACAGTGTTTACAGTAATAAAAGTAAAGCAATTTCTTTCAATAAAATTACGCACATAATTTCCTAACCACATCTAATGTATAATAAATTAGGAGTTATGTATCGATCATAATTTGTAATAATATTTCTGTAAATTGACTCAATGAATAACATGATACTATGTTAATCTTGACACAAATATATGATTACATGATCTGAGGTTTTAAGCACATATATATTTTTTGTAATAGTTAATAAGAAAGATGATGAATATTATCTTGAAAAAAATAATACGCTAAAATACGTTTTACTTGCCTTTGGAATATCGGCTGGACCGTAGCCATTTTCCCTAGGTGGTAGTTTTGGAGGCTTATCGCCTCTCCTCTGTCCCATTTGCATCATAAGTTGCTCCCTTGTTGCAGCAACGACTCCATGACCATTGTGGCCGTTGTGGCCATTGTGGCCATTATGGCCATTGTGTCCGTTATGCCCGTTATGTCCATTATGTCCGTATCCACCAGAACTACCACTAGAACCTGAACCGTTAGCGTTGGAGCTAGCAATGCTGTAAGGATCTTCATCAGGTATTGGGATGCGAGGTCTGTTCTTTATATCCATAGGTCTTTGAACTGCGATAAAAAAAGCTTTATTAGGATCACATCGGTATAAAGATATACGTTTTAAGCTCCGAATGGTTTTAATAATAATAATAAATAAACTACTAACTATGACCTTAAAGTGCAGGTAGATGTCCCAATATAGTCTAAATTAAAATTTAAATCAGGATTTGTGACTTTGATGTAGGATAAACAAAACTAGTTTAGGATTCGATTAAAAAATCAAAACCTAATTATAGGATTAGCTTAAAAAACTAAATCAAAATGTGATTGGTTTTTATTTCCTTCGTCTATAAAAACAATAGACATTTTAATTTATTTTAAAACATCATAGTTTTATCTCAATAATCATATAATAAGGGGGATGACAGTTGGGAATATTCTTTCTTGTTTAGTAAATATTAATAAGTTATATATCGATTATCTAACAATGTGCACTAAGTTTTGCAATCTCGAACGTCGTGATGCAGAGATCGGATGGCAATCACTCGCCACGACTACAACCTACGATTATTATGCGACGCTAAAGGTTGCAGTCTTAATGTATAACTAGAATTTTATTAGACATGCCATTCACACAACATACTTTAGCATTATAGCCAATGTTCGGGTTAAGTTACGCTGTTCCTATAATATTTACTATACATAAAACTGTTTGGTATTATTGCAAAAATAATTTAAAGATGATTTCTAATCATATAGAATCTCTGAATAGTATTGTTTTATAATTGTTAATGATAAAAATGTTTGCTCCCAAAACGGTTTAGTCTGTCATGTTTAATTAAAACGAATGATACAGCAGAAATAATCTGGAAGAACCTTTTGGGAGCACACAGTAGGCATCGATAATAATTAATTTCTTACAACCGAGACATTTAACAGTGATTGGAATTATCTGACCCTGAATAAATTTGCTATAATATATCTATGAATTACTTCTAAGTAATTTTAACAATAATTTAAACGAAGATTGGATCTGTTAGAATTCTGGTATATAATTATATTAATGTAACAGTAATTTATAAATAATTAGATGCTCAAATTACGTCTGTTTCAAAGTTACAGGTGGATAGTTTTTTTAAAAATATGTAAGTATTGAAACGAATACAAACTATCGTGATTATGATAGGTCAACATTAAATAATAATCATTTTGCTAGAAATAGTTATCACATAAAACATTTATTACACACTTAATGTCAAACGCAATCCATTCTTTAAGTGTAGGTTATTAAAACTATTAAGTCAGTAAGTTATATATTCTTACTCAATTGTATCACTTATCATCGGTTTGTAATCAAGATCACTTTCATTTTTTCGATCAAAGCGTACTTCCTAATATATCTGATTTGATCTATTTGCATAATATCAGTCACGATTTGCTTTTGACCAACTTTTAATGTCCCGATTGCCACTAAACTAAACCTCAAAATGAACACTAATAAGATGAAGGCAAATTGTTCTGCTTTTGTGATCTAGTTATGCCATAGCTAGTCACGAATACTTTCGACCTTCGTTTTGAAATCAAAATTTACTAGACTCCGTTACAAACATATGTAACTAATAATGTTAAAAGTTAAACTATAATATACACGTTTATATCATAAAAAACAATCAAACTTTTGTCTTCCTCAATAACAGGTCTAGATTATTACACGCAAGTGAAGATGTTATCACATTTTGATTTATCAAAATTGATTCTAATACCAATAAATTCATTTGCGGTGCAGATCCGATAAACAGCGGTTAGATAGCAAACCACTAGGAAATCTAGAAACAAATCTCATACGAATTCTGAAATCACTAGAATCTTTTGTGCGGTTTCAATGGCAAGAAGTTTCCGTATGATTTGTGCAAAACCAATGTTAGCAATATGGTTAAACTGACTTAGAAATTTCCTGTAAAGTTAAGTGAAATGGGGTACAATACATCATAAGATCGAAGCAAGATTGCATTGTTGCACAACAATAAACTGAGCTGCAGAGAAGTCAGCCAGTGCATAGTTGATGCGGTTGCGTGCTATGAGAACTAAATCACTTTTCTTATAAAAACACTTTAATATTAGAAACACCAGATATGGTATTTCTAATGTTTACTTTTTTTACTCCTAGTAATTTCATAAGAAATAGTTATTTCAAAAGCTAAGAGTGGAGAAATAATATCAGAAAGAAGAAATAGATTAATCAAAACGCAGCGCTAGGCAGTGAATCCGTATTCATTAAGACTATATCTAGAATTATTTAATCGCTACTGTTGAAGTAAAGGTCACTAAAATAGCATTTTTATTATTAAAATTCATTAATTACGTTCTGATTGATATACATTTTCTTTTACAAATACTTGTTTTGTACAAGGCCGTTATATTCGAGAAGAACATTAACATTTTCGCGTGAGAACATTGGATTACAAAAATTAAATTTTGTTCGTTAGACGTTTCTTAATGATAAGTGTTGAGGTCGGTTCATTGTTTGTTGCATAAAGTTGTACTGTCTCTGGAGGCCTGAGACAAGGTAGCTGTAACAATGAATTCTGGCCATCCATCATTAAATAACCGATTGTTTCATATGTTACTTGTGAAAAGAATGAGAATTTCAATTAATGTTTATATCGATGACGCGTGACTGATATTATATAGCGTCCTTGTAATATTTATACAATAGAAGCCCAAGACAACTTATTTGATGTAGGCGTTTATCTCAGTATCAATCGACACTGTGAATTATGAAAATGACATTAAATAACTTGAACATCTGGAACAAGATTGGAGGAGATTTATCATAAAAATGATGTGACAGATGTTCGCTATTGTTATGCAATTGTATTATGATTTTAGATAGACCAGAATAAATCCTTTAGCGTAGTATGTCTTTGTCATGACTCTAAGCTTCGGGCTATTTGTTCTGTATGACTTTTATGAGTTTAGAAGTCTCGCGGGCTCTGTGATATTTTATTGTTTCGCATTTTTATTTATAACATTCCTTTCTTACCTGTTGTTCATGACATCTAGCATTACAAAATTCAAACATTAGTTTTATGTAAATAAAGGATTTATATTTTGAAAACAGAAAAGTAGTGTCTTTAAAATTCGTGGGTCAGTAAACTTTTCAACTACCGCAAATATTAAACAAATTGTAGCATTATGTTATCTATAAAAGAATTCCATGTATATCCTCTATAAAATTTAGCGATGTTTGTATGATAAAATAATAAAACCTTTATAAAACGTAGGATGTTAAATAGGCATAACAGCTTAATTCATATAAAAATTACTGCCGCATAAAAAAATCAATGCGTCAATATTAGATTCGCGTATTTTTTAATAAATTTATAAAGTTTTTATATCATGTCGTGATAACGATGTGCGAGATGGCGATCAAATAACAATAATGTTGATAATTTAGTATTTATATCATCTATCCTATGCAAAACTGTTCAGAATTCCCTTCGATTTTATTTATTCAAGTATAACAAGTATCAGATTTACTTTATCAATTTAAATACTTGAATATACAATACACTTTGTAATAATTATATTTTTCATATATTATACAGAAAATAATATTATTTTAAGCTATTACAGATTAATACGAACTTTTTTCCAGAAATATATTAGAAGTAAATTATTTTGTTTTAAGCATAACAGTGTTTTAAATGTGATTCTACGAGTGTATAAGACTGTGAACGAGGAGATAGTTTTTGTCGTCCGCAAAGGCGGTTCCCGGAAAACTCGTAATAGGAGCAAGTATTAACTAATATATGTGCTTATATGTCCAGGGCAATGCGGCGTGTTATAAAAAGTACAACAGTTACACGAAGGTCGACAAACTTGTCACCCGGATACATTTAGTTCCTGTATATATTTTTTTGTTTAAAACGTGCTTTTAATACCTCTGAGAGCACTCATGTAACATTTGAGTTTCCATAAGTCAGTTCCTATTTATATCTTGTCATTATATCAAAAAAGTCCTAAATAAGGATTCTGACACCATATTTTTTGGAGAAATTATCATTTTATTTTAACAAAAATTTTGTGCTCCTCAACATAGTTTTCCATGGAATCACTGCATATTTTGAATAAATGGACTACCAAAAATTATATAATTTTTTTCTAAGATAACAATTTGTAAGATAAAAACTCACCTGGCGGCAACTTTGATTTGAGCATATCCATAGCAACAACATTGATGACCAGCACCCATATAGGGCACTCCAGAAGTTCACTATCAGACTTAACGAAGGCTACAGCGCTAAGGCACTGAGTCTCCAGCCGCCTCCGGTCAGGGTACGCACGTCGCAACTCCCTGTTCACGTTGGATTGGAATTTCTTCATGTCGAATAGCTGTGAACGAAAACTCTTTGTAATATGTGACTTAAATCTCCATATTGCTAAGGCAAAAACATGAATCGTTTTTACTACCAATTACTTGGATCGTCATATAAAATCTTTGGCCAATATTAAATATAACAGCTGAAGAAAATAAATTTATGAATTTTATATCAATGATAAATGTAACATAAAGTTAATGGAAAAAAACTTATTGATTCAACCTTGATTGCAATGTCTGAAAATACTTTATTTTATATTTAATCATTATAAAATATATAATTTCGTTAACGAGATAATTTTCTATATCCATTTGATTTAAAGTGTTGCATAAAAATTTAAAATGTTATAATTTTGATTCAAGATAAGGTCATTGTTTTATAAGAGGCACGATAGAATCTCAACAATGATGTGATGGCAGACAAATCAATACTCTTTTATAACGCTTACGTTAACATTACATAACAAGAAATCTCTGCGTGATTATAAAATGAAAGTGAAACATAATGAGATGTTATTGGTTTTGATTTTGTTTGTGAGTTAAGTGGGGTAAATAAGACAGGATTTTTTATTATTATTTACATAAAAATAATTCAAAATAATTGAAATATAATCGACTAATTCAATTCTAAAAGAATCATTAACTCATAAGAAATAAATATTAATTTAAAAAACAATGTACAAAATTTCGAACCAAAAAATGCTGTGTAAGCCATTGATTATATTGTGAGGAACTAATCATAGCTGGCAACTGATGTGGTCCACTGGAATTGTTGCCTCAAATTTGATTTGACAACAAGCAAAGGGAATAGAGATGTTATCTACAAAAAAATTGCCGCTGCATTCGTAAGTCATCGACCACTTTTCAAACTATAGCGAGCATAGTCATCATGGAAAGGGTTTTAGAAAGTTTCACCTTTTGTACTTGCACTAACAAGTTTACCACGAAAGATATATTAAAGATCTCTTTAGGTATTTCACTAACCGAGAAATTAAAATCTTTTATTGCAATTAATTTACATTTGATACAAGATTTAAACAAAATATGTACATATGTTAGGCAATGACTATTCTTTTCTTCGTAGCTATATTTTGTATTGTTCATCAGTTGCGTAATCGGTAGCTAATGGTATAAGAATTAATGAACGTTTTGCCTTACAAGGAAGTGTTCTATTGTTTTCATCGACCCAATTAGTCGAAGCTTCAAATGCTCTGTTTTGAGTAAGAAGAGTAAAAGTCTGGCGTTCTTCGATTGTTTTGAAATCGTTTATGCAAAACTGAATACCTATTAATAAATAAGTCTGACTGAGGTCGATGAGGAAACAAAATTAATTAAAGTGTTCATCTATTGCTAATGTTTTGCGAAGTAGAAGTAGTGACTTAAAATTGAATATATAAATACTATGAAAAATTATATGACGTCAGATGCATATATAAATATTTGGAAGGTCATTGACCTTACACAAATAATTGAACATGTTTCGCGAAAATTAACAGATAATAATGTATCTCTATGCCCCATGGAAGAAAAAACATTTGAGATTATTTTTACCGTCTCGGTCAAAATTAAATGTCGTGTGCAGTCGTGACGCAATAACATTAGAAACAGATTTCAAATTTTCGCTTGTTATGATGGGTCGTTAAAATAAACTTAACATTTATATATGTATTTGAAGACACAATAAAATAATACAATTTAGGCTAAAGCTTGCATCACAAATGTACTAATTCATATTTAGTTCATAGGCACATATATTTATGTTTTACCATTGAATTATTCAGTTGCATTTTAAAAAAAAACTTAGAAATTTTAGTACTTAAAGTTCTTTGAATTTACAGAGGATATTTTCTATCTTCTATATGTAATAGTAAACACAAAAAGGGCAAGTAAAACAGAGGTTCTAATCTATACTAGATAATGATTATACACTGGATATATTTGTTAATAAATACGAAACGCCTATTGAATATGAACATAGCCGGTAAGCAAGTCGGGCAATTATGCGGGCAGCCATGAAACTAATAGGCCGTGTTTCGACATTTCACTACATAAATGTATGCATCTTGACGGAAATGATTACACGTAAACACCCACTTCAAGCATTCCGCTCAACTTTTGAGGTCGAATTAAAGAAATTCCTACCACCCTTATAATTAAAAACAGAGACGAGATGTATCCTTAAAATTATTTCATTGCGAAATATTTAGATCGTTCTTTTATTACTGACATGCCGTCAGCTATGTTTTTCATTTGGAGATAATCATTTTAAATTATATGTATATCTTAGTTGAGTAAACAATAATTAAGTTTTTTCGTAAAATTATAAATCACAGAGGTCGTTTTGTCTATGATGTAAAGACTGATTGAAAAAAATGGTTTAAAATCTTACCTTAAATATCTTTTCCTGTTCCAAAGAATAACCAGGCAGTTTGACTATATCCTGCCCGATCGCTGTCTCCTCGTTGCTGGTGGCAGCAGTACTCTTCACAAACACGCTACTCTTGGAATAGCGTCTGATGAGTATGTTCCCAGCATCATCCATTTTTATTTTAACACCCTGACAGCAAACAAAAACATAGCATATGATAAATTGTCTCTAAATTTAGCTTTTGTCGTACATGTACCGTTGAACAATTTAATAAACTTGTTTTCTGGAATCTTTGTAATGAGACCTTGGGAGGTAAATACTTTAAGCGACCCAGTGGCTTCCTTAAGGCAGTATTAAATCTTGGCTTCGGTTACAGGACTTCGATAAGATCGAGATCATGTTACAGGGTGATTCACCTTAGCCGAATAAACGGTAATTGTCCACGGAGCCGTTATATTTTGTTGCTGTCCTTGAACACGCGAGTTTGATATGTTGCACGTTAGCGATGATTAATGATAATATTTAATATGGACCACCGCCGAAATTTTTGTATGAATTATTCACATTAAGCCTTTTAATATCAAAAAAAAAATGTTTGAGGGTTGCACTCTGATTAATATAATAATTTTTGAAAATAATTTTAAAATCTATATGAATGTAATTTAGTGAATCAAATAATCTTCTTGATCTCTAATAGTTACTCGATCGGTGGAAATTAATAACTAGAAAAAAATAAATTGACTAACCACATCATATCTACAAAATGCATCCAAAACGAAAAAATATATATAAAATATGATAATGAATTCATTCCGAATATCGTCTCCGCACTGAGCCGAGTATAATTAGTACATTAAAATGGAGAGCCATCACAATTATGTATAATAATTTTGATTACAAAATATTAAAACCATTACATTAATTCTTCACAAAATATATCGAAAGGTATATATGTATATGTAATACCTCAAGTTTATATTAAGAAACAAAAACTGAGTATACCAACATAAATGTAGAATTTGTTAATAATGGAGTGTAATAAATTTGTTCTACACCATTAGAGGGCGAGCATTTGAAATAGGTTCAAACTTTAACCTTTTTTGAACTATTATTTTGCTACGTGTGATTAAACTTTAACATAAATTTGTTACGCGTAATATAAAGTCGATTACTTCACACTGTGTGTACTCGTTCATATTATATTTATAAACTTAATACAAAGCTTTGTATAGTAAGAATTTGAATAATTTGAAGCATCTGGAAACATAAGTAAAGACACAACTCTTCCTTGTTAAAATAACAGTTACATCCTATTAAAGTTTAAATGCTTTTTTACGTTCATTTAACTGCATATTATTTTAATCACTTTAAAAATACTGACCTTCGCCTAGACAGCTCGTTATCTTATGAATTAAGAACGTCTGAATCTGACCCTATTGTTCAATTCGTTTGTTCCCTGAGATCACACGTTTTTTTTATTTCGCTTCACAAAAAATCAATAATTTCAATTAAAGGAATACATTGTTGCATCGTTTATAAGGCCGTTAGGATATTTATACTAGTTCATGCGTCTGCTTTGATCACCGTTCTAAATGAAACCACCATATATTTTTAAAGCTATCTTCTAGTAAAAATAGAATCAAAATTCGTCCCTTATTTTGGCAGATTACCCAGAACTAATTTAATGATCACTCGTCTTATGTATCACAAGTCATAACGTGAGAACGGATTGTTTATATTTTCTTCAAATTAACTTGGGATTGGGATAAGCTTGGTAAATTTATACTTTTTTTTATTAAATAATTTAGTTATACTTTACAGGTACAAATTAAACTAAAATAATAATAGATATTTTAAGCGTGAAGCCGTAACGAATGACGAATAATTAATATCTGGAGTTTACGATATTATTGTATAAATTTTTAACAAAACAAAATTTTTGTAATATTTCAAGTTATTTACACCAAAATTAAATATAAATGGTATGTTCCCAAATTAGCTGAGATCATCACGAATTTGAATTCATCAACACATGTCTAATATACCAGCATTAGTCCGTGTATCGTATAGTAATGATCTTTTTTAATACGTGGGCGTTTCCTTAACTTCGTTGTGAGTCTGAGCCATCGATCAGATAATCTTCATTTAAGAGTTACGTCATTCGCCTGATTTAGGGGCTCTAAGATTAAAAAAGTCTTAAACTATAAAAGTTTTTGTTATATTTTATCTTTAGAAAGTGATTTTTATGATATATTTTTATTGTAACCATAACTCAGATATAAAAAAATGTGTGAATAATCTCACTTTATCCGACCACAAACTTGATAACATTTGAGCTTCAAATCGTTTTCAGAAACGTGATTACCAATCTTAGAAGTCTATGTAACTAAACATGTTTTTCCAAATATTTATGATAATAAAGGTATCATCTTAGACACTAATTAGTGCTTACAAGGAAAAAAATTTTATTTAAGCTATAATACCAACTTTAAATTCTAGGTTGCAGCCATTTTTGAACCTAATACACGTCAAGGATGTTTAAAAGGTTTGCCGCACAATCTTTGAATAAATTTTATCTTATGAACCTTGGATTTTATTAAATTTATGTGAGTGTTAGAGATGCATTTTTGATAGTTAGTTTATACTAATAACACCTAATCGTAAATAAGTTTTACCTGTCCTATGTGTTTTTTGAGTTCTTCAGTTTTTTGATCTCTATGTGGGTTGTCGAATCCGCAAAGGCCAATTCTGTAAAGATAGAAGAATAATGTTAGTCGATGCTTATCACGTCGCATATATTTTTATTGAGATGATTTCTGCATCGTCTGGAGGATAGCCAAACATTAGAATTCATCATATGGTAAAAACCCTGAATAAAAAATAAAATATGGCTAATAAAAATATACAGAGAATAATTTACTTTGTTCCGATGCAGAGAATTATCTTGGCTGTCATATAAAAGTGAACATTACTGATATTTACTTCCATCGTTAGGAAGAAAATATGATTACATTATTTATATGCTGGAATTACGTATGCATCGGAATAATTAAAGGACTCTTGGCGGTTTTTTGGGTTATTAAATAAATATGTCTCAAAGTAAAGCATTAAGTGGAAGGAGTTACGTCTTTTTATTTACAGTATATCATCCATGTCATCAATAAAAGAATGCCTCGATGGTTTGTTAAATTGACATTTAAATGAATTATTTACGATCTATTCCACTACGTATTTGTCATGTAACAAATTGAAGAATGACGCCAGAGGAATTTGTGCAGCATTAGAATGTCCACCACGTATAGTATCGGAATATTGTTTTCTCAAAACCGTTCCTCGCTCGCTCTGAGAAATAACATTTGTTCCTCATTGATATTCTGCTGATGATGTATCTTTGAGAGGCGCCTACTGATTGGAAATTTCTATTTGACTATAGGTCTCGTTCAAGTACAAGGTTTTGCTATTCAAACGATACATCATTCAGCATGGGCGATTACTTTTCTAATGAAAGTGATTATGTCATATTACAATACTTTCCTCTATAAAAAGAAATCCTGCCATAGAATATATTTTGATATATATAATTGTAAATAAATATTCTAGTGAATTTATTCGTTCCTAAAATATTTAAACATAAATCTCATTACTCACTAAATCACCTTTTCAAAGTTTGTAATAATTTTAATATGAAGTAGGTCACACATTTATAAGAGGTCTATAAATTTAAAGTCTGAGTAATTTGCATTACCAGGAATTTTGTTTTTCGTTCATTCATTCATCCCTTCGCTCAAAAATTAGAGGTAACAGGTATCTTTTATCAATAAAAGCTTTTAAATACATATATATAAGATTGTTACATACAAGTCGATAAACATATACAGCAATATTTCATTGTTATATCAAAACAGTTTAAATTATATAATTTTCTAGCACTGAATGAAATACAATATAATTAACGAGCCATATTGATAGTTCGTCGAACCAGTTCTAAGTGAACGTCGACCTTGGAGCTACTGTCATATGCTTGTGGCACGATCGAGTTATATTTCATTATTTGCCAATCAGTAGAATATGTACTGAAGTTTTAAATTACTTAGAGACCGTTATATGTATTTATGTACATACATAAAAACCTAAGCAAACTTTAAACTAACTTTAAATATCTAGAAAACTAATACGTTACTTTTGACAAATATTGATTCAAATATATATTTTTATCTCGACTAAATCTATAAGCATCTAATCATAGGAAACCCAGTATTGTTTACTATTTTGTCTTTATTTAGACTTGAAGTTACAATTTTGTCTATATAAGCTTAGAATTTATAACAACAGGATGAAAATAATTAAAAGCAAATTAATTTATTATGCAACGATTTCAAAGGACTAACAGATAAACTTGGTAATATATGTAACAAGTTTAAATTCATACATAAATAAGATGCAATTCTTCAGATGTCTTCATAATTAATAGGTAAATATTTGAGAAGGCATAAAGTAAATATGTTTTTGTCGTAGTAACGAGATTTCATTCGAATCAATAAGAAACTTAATAAGCAACATTATCGTGATTAGAAGCTGATTATATTTTGATGTCAGTATTTATATAAACAATTGAAATATCACTGCATGGACAGAAATAACATGCATCTACGCCGACCATGGACACTCGTGACTCCACCAAGGCCGCGTCATAATGAAATGGTAACCGTAATTAGTATCACCTTATTAGTTATTTAATAAAATAACATGTTATTTACTTGCAACTGTTACAGTCACGATACGAAATTGTTGTATCTGTATATAAATCACGCTGTCATTTTTTCATTTATAACAAATCGCAAATCATGTATGTATAGTAAATTCAATTCTAGTTCCAAGGAAGAAAACATTCTATTCATTTATTATCAACGGCAATGGCTGTTGTAGACACTTTAGGTAATGTGCGCGCAGACCTGACAAATGCCCTTATATTTGTATTGGTTTGAAATGAATATGGAACGCTCTAATAAACTAGGTGTCGATTGCAAAATTCAATACATTCTAATTTTCATACGACGCCTTTGTACTCGAATGTAAATGAAATATTCAGGAAATTTTTATTTAATTTAACATTAAGTATATGAAAAGATTTGGTGTGAAGCTGTATCTTGTATGACAATCGTACTTGTGTGCGTGTTTTTCTCAATACGGGTTGTTTTGGAAGGCTGTATATCAAGCTTAACACATTCCGTGCTTCTAATTAAATCACGCAATCGGATATATGACGGAAGCAGGCTGACATGCAATACAACTAACACTTAAATTTCCCATTCTTTACGTTAATTGATTTCAATTAAGGAAGTGTTCGGAAAGATAAAAAAACAAAAACCGGACGAATTCAGGTTTGACTTGCAATCCGACGGTTTCCGACAGAAAACAGATTGGGAGTTGGCCGTTCATATGTGTTACAATATAATTAGTTCAATTATTAATTACTATATTGGGTGCTTTTATTACTTACTTAATGTTGATATTAATAGTGAGAGACAATCATAATTTTTCGTCTGAAAAGTTGTGAACATATGTAGATACTGTGGTTATACGAGTATATACATAAACCTCCTTTTACATTATTATTTAATTACACACTTTTGATTTTTATTAAGAACAAGAAAGTTTTTGTTACTGGTTATACTTGATACTTATAAAGTGTTGTGAAGGATAAAATATTTAATGACGTCCATAATTATCGATAAATATCATACAGCAAGTTGCATTCGTTTTTACTTATTAAGAGCAAAGCAAATACGCATTTATAAGGTCAATGAGGAATTATGTCTCACTTTTACATTAACAATAATTTTTATAACCATCACACTAATAAAGATTATTATAAATATGATCATATTGAAACATTCCCACAGAATCTTACGCAAGTTGAAAAATTATAAAAAACATAAAATCGAATTCCTTTCAAGGATTTATTTCATTCCAAACCAAATATAGTCAGTTCTAGTGTAGGTTTAAAATTGCAATTAGAGCCCATAATTCTCTACCTTATAAATGATTAATGTTGATAAAAAAACTTTATGGAATAAATCGTATCAATAATCTGTTGAAGGTGGATATAATTCATGTTTAATAAAGAATAAATAAAAACTTTTATGAATCATCGACATCGATAAAACTCGTTGGAAAGCACTTTCGTTCGCGGAAACATCGTTGAAAGTAAAAGCTGATTGGTACCGGATCGGTTCAGTCTCGAGTAGGAAGCGCGAGCCATGTTGACAAGGATTATTGTTTACTTGGATATGGTATTTATGAACTGTAAGACAATATTTAATATCATTTCTTTCTAGAACATAATCCCTAGACCGTTAAATTTTCTTAGATCAATGGTGTGATTTTCCTAATAGTTTAAGCGAATTAATCAAACTTACAAAAGAGGAATAATCAAAATAATAAATAATCCCACCGTCGTAGGTACATACGAGTATATCTATATGTCGTGAGATACCTTTTTGTTAGGCAAAAATTTCTTAAATAGCTATACTATAATCTCGTCCTTGTAGTAACGCTAATGATTTAACACTAATTAGCGGATTACAATACATTGTAAATAAACGTTTATATGCGTAGATTGTTTGGACAAGAATCTAAAAGTTCAACGGTCATTCGCAATAGTTCTTAAGTTTCCAAGGTTGCATGGTTTTAGCTATATTTAAAACACGGTTCTTGTATTTACTTGAAAAAATTAAGTACATTTTTGGACACAAACAAACAAAAATTTATGGGTATGGAAGTAACGCTGTAGTGTTGGAAAGTAATTGAACAGAAGGCCTTACAATTTACAATTCAATGTAACTTTGAATCTGATATATAGTACATGACCGTTGTAGGTCAATAGAGACAATAGCTGGTGATGTGATCCGTGACTTAGATGTTCCAAGGATTTGGGTATGTGTTATTTATGTTCTAAATTAGATCATAAATCATATTCGATACTTAAAATCTTCATCTCTGAAGCAAGGGCTAGGAATATTATAGAAACATTGGCGGAAAGATTCTAAAGATTATTTAATTCTCAAAAAATATGATACGAAATTATTACTAAACATATATTGTATATTTTTAATACGAATATAGAAATCAATGCCAACAAAGAACAGCACTAAAGTCCCACCGTTGCCTATTTCATTTTGTCTGCGCTATATAATTTATTTCCGTAATAATTGATGAATACCGCATTACCACTTTCTTTTTCTTTCATTTTTATTTCATTATCCCCTTGTATTTGCCATTACAGACGCTCCAGTTGGTATCAGTGTCAATATCACAATGACTTTGCTTTCATTGTGCAGAGCCGCCGTTCACACCGTGTTGAAATGGAAGTGTAAGCCATAGGGCCAACTCAAGTAAATTGATTTGTATGGATTTAAAATCACTCTGAACTTTCTTGACACTTTATAGAGATTGATTTTGTGTACTGGCATTTATTATTATAGTTCCCAAAAAATATATTAAGTTTTTAATGTGTTTATAGTCACTAATACGAAATTTTACCAATAAAAGACCTCGTAAATTATAACCATATATTTTTTCTGTAAAGCTTATACCTAATAAAAGTAGATAATTAACTCCAATAATGTTGTATATGTTAGAATTCTTCTAAATATTTATTATATTACGATATCAATGTAAAATATTGCATCAAAAACATAAACAAACATCATGATCACATATTGTAATAAAATGTATCACACAATGGC